TATCTCACCTGTTTTTATGAAAGTTTTATGGTTTTTCAATTGATTCTCCGTTTTCCTAAAAACTAGGGTTTACTGAAAATTATCATCTCTAAAAGCTTTCCGATTTTGAATGTTTAATATTCTGATCTTACGTGCTTCTGACCGATTTATGTTGAGTTTGCCTTAACCTAGTCGATTTATGCTAAAGCCCAAATTTTCCCATATTGTGATTCGATTCTGAGTTCTTCGTGTTACTTGTGCAGTGTTTCGTTCTGTGTTTGATTCGCATGCTTCCCTTAGTCAGATTCATTATTTTTGACTTTTTACCCTAGTTCATCCTATTTGTGGAAACCTATATTCTTCCCCCCTTAATCAGTACTATTTCAAATTTCTAATTTACTTATTTGCTCTGTCAAACTTATGTGTTGATTCTTGATTGTTTCCCTTATTTACGACCTTAATTAGTTTCTTACCTTATGTGATTAGTTGTGATACTTACTGATCCTTTAAGATTGTTTCATTAATTGAAATCATGTCTATTTACCCTTAATTGCTCACTTAATTTTCTTTCCTTAAATGTAACTGCCCTTTACCATTGGGTAATTACCCCTAATTAAGGAAAAAATGCACTAATTTGTGTGTAATTGATTCTGTGGCTTCCTTAATAGATGAATGATTGATCTCCATTACTTTATTCTGCTGTGCTCCTAACCACTATATATACTTTCCCCTATTCTCACTTCTAAGACACGGACATTGGTTCATAAACACACTTTCACTCTAAAAATCCCTCTGTTCTTCTCTGCTACTTGTGATATTCATTAGTCTTCCCAGTTGTAAGCCAAGGCTAGATATTGCACAACATCTACTTAATATCTTGTGTTCTCTTTCCCTAACTGGTATGTCCCTGATTAAATTTTAGAACCCAAACCCTATGTGTTTCATTACTGCCTTAGTTCATCAGTTATGAGTTTCATTCTTGTTCCTGTTCACTGTCTTGCTTAGCATGCCTAACACTATCTTGTTCAATATATGTTTAGCATGTCTAAACTATACTTGCATGTCTACTGCTTTATCTATCATGTCTAAATCTCATTTTGTTTATTGTGTGATTAGCATGTCTACACCATAAATACTTGTGTGACATTTGCCTAGCATATTCATTTAAGTTCTTGCCTATTCTGCTTTGCTATTGAGATAATGCTAAGTTATCTAGTCTCTCCAGGGTAACTCTAGTTGTGTTCTTGATCATGTCCAGTGTTTATGTGTTTACATTATGGCTTTACTGTAATCCTTGCTCTATGTCTCAATCACCTACCTTATAGCTGTAGAACCCTTGAGATTTTTGTGCATCCTGTTGTTTATGTGCTCCATTATACATTGATGTGTATTCTATGCGTCTATTTGCCAAGTGTTCTGAATCTGGTTGTTCCGTGGTTTGTGTTGGGTGATTTCAAAAAGTATTTTAATACCTTTCTCAAACATGTTTATTTTCAGAAAACCTTTTCACTCCTAGAGTCACTTCTATCTGTTTTCTTATCAAAAACTTATCAAAACTATGTCAAGCACTCTCACTTTACTCTTAAGTCAATAGGTTCTGCCCCTCTAGTATGTGTACTGCTTAGAGATCCTGGAGATCTCTCTGAACTTTGCATATCAGGGCTGGCTCTTCCACACTGCACATAATCAGTCTCTATTTGAGAAAAGTCTGGGTATAAGCACTGCCCGAGATCCTTGAGGTCCTTAGGGAAATCTGATACACCTAGACACAAATGTGGCAATGAAATCTTGGGCATTTGAGACTACTAAAGGCCTGATACCTCAGGTTTGCTTTGGGCCTGCATCAGGCTCCCTATAGTTTAATCTATATCGTATTTATGTAATTTATTCAATCTTGGTCTGAAATAATTATTTATAAACAGATATTGGGGTAATTAGTGAAATGGAAGGGTAGTTGTAATGGGTAAAACTGGGTAGAAAATATGTTATAGGCTTTATATTCTGCAAATCTGTATTATAAGCCATGTTCTAGGATTGCTATGTCTATTTGCATTTGAACCATGTTGAACTTATGCATTAGATAACCTGTTCTTAGGATATTCACGCATATTGCTTTAGCATACTACATGTCATATATTGTTATTCCAGCTTTGATTTTGCATAACTACTTTCACTTAGAGATCCTACTATTAGGTTAATAATCATGCCGTAATAAAAATAGTCATCTCTTATATGCATTAGATACCATATTTCTAGGAACTCTATTTGCTTCTGTTGAATCATGTTTATTCCGATCACTATCTACAAATGGTTTAAACAGCCTCACATATAGGCATCATGTCTTAAAATACAAATAAGAAACCTATTATAACTTGTGTCACCTAGATCAGCATGCTCATAGGTTGAACAGTCTCAACTATTCAAACAATTCCTGTAATTGTGATTACGCATAGTCCCCATGCCTAGGCAAGCCTTAGGTGATTAATGTCCTTATATAAAATTGAAAATTGCATTTTAATTGTGTATAAACAGCTTAAGTCTTACAGGTTTAAGATCAGTAGGCAAACTGATTTGGACCCTGCCATTAAGTTTTTAAATCTCGGTGCAAGATTTGTGTCTTAATGTTCACTTAGATATCCTGTCTTAGGATTCTTTCTAAAAAATTACCTAAATCTGTATTTTAGACGTGCTGTTTATTTGCCTATATACATGTGGAGGTAAACATGATCCTTTTAACTGCTTTTTCTCTATTTGCTTGTCCTACATGTTATTTGTTTGTTGCCAAGATTTTTGACTTTTAAATACCTTAGGTTTGTCTAGAACTGTCCAGATTTAGAGGTCCTAAATTCGTTCGGGGCCACAAAGAAAGGACGGGTAACAACACGCTAAGAGGTCGTTAAACAAACTCGCTTATATAACCATTACAGGGAGGGTAATGGGTAGTAAAAAGATATGATGACATGCGCGCTAATGTCACATGTAACCCCTCTAGTTGAGGATGATTACTGGGCATTGCATAGATTGATCCTGTAGGTTAATCAACTTAGGACTTCCCTTCCCCCATTCCTATATGTGTTTAAATTATCTAAACTTCCTTTTTCTTTACATATATGTGTGTTTAAGCTGTCCAAACCTCTTTTACTTTCATTATCTGAATTTTCTTGATCATATATGTATTCAGATTGTGAAAACTACTTTATTTTGCAAATATCTGGTCCCCTCAAGGTTATTCCGATCCCTTACCCTAATATCTGGTAATGCAAACTAGTTACATGAGTTAATCACTCTAGGTGCCCTAACGCACCTTAATTCGTTAGGTGGCGACTCTTAAAATACCCAATTCCCTAAAGGAAACGAGTTGTTTCCCCATGTCGAAACCCGCACCCCGCAAGGGAAAAGGGGTCGCGACAGCAAAAACCAGGTACAAAAATTGACGGGACAGATAGCCACCTTGTCGAGGTTTATCTCACGGTCATCGGATAGGTGCCATAAATTCTTTAACGTATTAAGGAAGGACAACGGGTTCTAGTGGAATGCAGAATGCGTTGACGCCCTGAGGAAACTAAAAGTGTACTTGTCTTCACCACTCTTACTCGCCAAAGCAGACCCAGGCGAGTTCCTCCTAGTCTACCTAGCCGTATTCGAAGTCACGGTAAGTGCAGTTCTAGTCCGGAAAAACCAAGGTACGCAATCTCCAATTTACTATGTCAGCAAAACCTTAATTGATGCTGAAACAAGGTACCCCCACCTTGAAAAATTGGCTCTGGCGCTAGTCGTAACTTCACGAAAGCTTAGACCATATCTTCAGTGCCACCCTATAAAGGCGGTGACGACCTTTCCTCTCAGGAGTATCCTCCACAAACCTGAATTATCGGCTCGGCTGGCCAAATGGGCCATAGAACTAAGCGAGCACGATATAACATACCAACCGCGGACCGCAATAAAGTCGCAAGTGCTCGCCGACTTCGTTGCTGATTCCAGCACAGAGATACTGCCCGAAGTCAAGCAAGAAGCATTTCACACTTCATCTGAGCCATCCGACCTCTGGGTCCTCTACACCGATGAGGCGTCCAACATGTTAGGATTGGGACTACGACTCGTACTCGAAGTCCCAACGAGAGAAGTAATTCATCAATCTATACGATGTCCTGAAATGACTAACAATGAAGCCGAGTATGAGGCCGCAATTGCAGGGTTAAAATTGGCCCTCAAGTATGGTGCTCGGCGGGTCATCCTCCGTTGCGACTCTCAACTCGTTGTGAACCAAGTTACTGGGACTTTCCAAATTAAGGAACAAATGTTGCAGAAATACCAGACCAAAATCCACAAACTACTGCCAGAATTCGACGAATGCCGATTCGACCAAATACCCCGAGCACAAAACATCGAAGCAGACGGTCTCACCAAGCTAGCAGCAACAACTAAAAATATCACCAAGGAGAACGTGGTCACCCTTCTCCACTCATCAATAGACCAAGTCAAGGTACATTCTATAAATTTAACTTAGCACTGGCGTAATCGCATCATATCATATCTACAGGAAGGAACACTCCCACAAGATAAAAAAGAAGCCAAAAAGCTCCGAATACAATCGGCCAGATACAGTCTCATAAACCAAGACCACTACAATAAAACGGGTAAATTGCAGAGGTTAAAATTGCAATTTGTGGAGGTTAGAAACCTCCGTTATTTGTTGTCACGGTGGTTGACCAGGCCCCCACAATAAGCATCGCCACTATTAATTTGCGGCAGATAAATGCGGGGGTTTCGCGAACCGCCGTGACAGAAAATAGCGGAGGTTTCTAACCTCCGCAAATTTCAATTTTAGCCTCCGCAATTTCATGCGCGAAAATAGATTTTTTTAAACCCCCGCAATTTCTTATGTCGTGATCTGTTCAATTTTTCTTAGAGGCTTTTATCCCCATCTATTTTTAAATATATTATGGAATTAATTTTTTATCATCAGTTTGCCATACTTTTCCCCTAATATCAATTGAAATATTTATGCTTAAACCAAAACATTAAAATTAAGAAACATCAACATTTCATTAACCGTGAAAAATACTATGACAGAGTAGTATTATATGTCATCAAGCTAAATTAGAACATAGTTAACCGTCTATATTAGTCAGCTATTACATTGTCATAATACATCCACTTCAATTAAAATGAATCTCAATGGTTGTCACTGGAATTACTAGCGCCAGAAGATCTTGCATCCGTCAGTAAAACGGGTCCACTAGCTGCATCACTTGGCTGCAGCAATAAGTAAAAAAAAATACAACTATTAAGAGGAGTATCAGGATTGAGCATCAAACTAGTCTCTAAATAAAAGATTGAGCATCAAACTAGTCTATAAATAATATTAATGTTTTATTGGAACATAAAGATTGCAGGAAATACTTCAAGGATGATGCATTGCAATGCAAGTCCAGTATCAGCCAAGACAAGAGAATCTTGGAAAGTATCAGTCACAGGCTATACTATAAAAAGTTTATAAGGGAAAGAAGGTAGAAATAACCAGCTTCAAGCATGCACACAATAACCTCAATAGTACTTTCCAAGCATGCACACATTAACCTCAATAGTACATCCACATAAAAAGTTAGGTAAGATGAACACTTGGGATCAGAATTGGAGCAATTAAATCTACTAAAAGATTGTAGCCAATTCCCCTACTAATTTTCTCAGCAAGATCATCCAAATAGTAACAACAAATAGTCATATAAACAATCACACCATTTTGAAAACTGCAATTTTTAATGATTCGATAACTCTGGTATATCATATTAAAAATTGAGACCTATTTCACAGAGAAATCAAATGAAGTGCCAAACAACATTGTAGAAAAGAAAATCTAACTTTATAAAAACATCTGAACAAATTATACTACCACAAGAATCCAATAAAACCTTTAATGATTATATAAAGGATCTGAGTTAAATAGGAAGGATTAACAGAACTTGAGACATGCAAGATAAAATTAAGCACCAATATAAGATATGGTATGAAAATCTACTTAGAAATAACCAGCAGAATAAATAAGTAGAACGATCAAATCAAATCAAAAATGCATTAAACACAAGACTAAAAAATAAATAGTACGAGAGAAGAACAGGTTGCCTCATGTATGAGAGAAGAATAGCAAGTTCCTTATCTAAATTTTACTCCAAATAACATGTATGAAAAATAAAATTGCAAAATACACCAAAAATAAAAGAACTTAGCATTTACCATTATAGGAGGAGAAGCAAGGATCCCAGCAAATTGTTCTGGTATTGAGCCTTGCTTCATTATCATGTATGCTTTTAGAGTATTCATCAATTGATTGTACTTTTCTTGGCACCCGTAGAAGAACATCCAACATTATTACACACAATTCTAATATTACCAAGATGGAGATTTGTCTCTCTGAAAGTATTGCTTTGTAACGACCCAACCGGTCGTTTTGGGCACTTATGTTCCTTTCTACTATTTTAAGTCTTGAATAGCTTCATACAATGTTATGACTTAGTGTGAATTGTCAACTTTGATTTTTCAATGATTTCGGAGTTAGTTTGGAGGAATGAAAGTAAAGGTTCAAAGTTTAAGTTTAAAGAGTTGACCAGAGTTTGATTTTTGTGCAAACGACATCAGAATGGAGTTTTGATGGTTTTAATAGCTCCTTATGACAATTTTAGAGTTAGGAGAATGTTCGGATATTTATTTTGAAGTCCGTAGGATAAATTGAAGCATTTTGACGAAAGGTGGAAAAAATGGAATATAGAAATTTGACCGAGAGTTGACTTTTTGATATCGGGGTTGAAATTAAATTTCGGAAATTGGAACAACTTCATTATTCCATTTATGACTTGAGTGCAAAATTTGAAGTCATTCTGGATTGATTTGATAGGCTTCAGCATAGAATGTAGAATTTGGAATTCGTTAGTTTCCGCGAAGCTTGAATTGGGGTGTGATTTGTATTTTATTGTGGTTTTGTGTGATTTGAGACATCAACTAAGTTTGTATTATGGTTTAGGACTTTTTAGTATATTTGATTGAGGTCCCGAGGGCCTCGGGTGGATTCCGGACGGTTAACGAAATGTGATTAAGAACATTTCAACGTGTTTCTTAAAGAATAAGTGGTATAACATTAAGCTAATAGCTCCAAATTCCTTTTTGATTAAAGCATTAGATCCGTATCAAAATTTCGGAGCCATAGCAAAAAGAATCGTCGAATTCAGACATCGTATGAGAGAGTTATGCCCATTTTTGTGTCGAAAAGAAATAATTTCTCATCGCCAGCGCCCAGGGTAGCGCTGGGCGCTATCCCTGGCACCGTGATTTTTTTAGATATTAGAACCAGCGCCACAGGCAGTGCCCGGTGCTACCTTTGGCGCCCGAATGGTAAAATACTATAAAACGGGAGTTTCGGCCATTTTTACACATTTGGAGCTATAGAGCTCGGTTTGGGCAATTTTCAGAGGCAAACTTCACCACAAAACTTGGGGTAAGTGTTCTTAACTCCCTTGTGATTATATTCTATGAATTAATCTTCATTTTTGGGGTTAGATTATTGATATTTCAAGAGAAATGGAGTTTTCTAAAATTCCATAAAATGCATTTTCAAGATTTGATCATCGATCCGGAGTCGAATTCGAGTAAAATTAGTATGGTTGGACTCGTAATCAAATGGGTTGACGGATATTGTTAGTTTCGTCGGATTTCGAGACGTCAGCCCCACTATCAAATTTTTGAGCGGAGTTGGGAATTTTCATAAATTGTTAAATTGTAAGAATTGGAGTATGTTTTGATTAATTTATACGTTGTCTGACTAGTTTTGAATCACGTGGCTTGGAATTGAGGAGATTGGAAGGCGTTCAAAGGTTGATACGCATATAATGGAATTTCCGGAGTACTTTTATCTTACTCGGCATTGGAGTCGGCTTGTTCAAGATAAGTAACTCTTTTAAACTTAGTGTTGAGGGTATAAACCCCGAATTATGTGTTATGTGATGGATGTTGAGGTGACGTACATGCTAGGTGACAGGCGTGTGGGCGTACACTCTATGAATGGTGACTCTATTGTTTCCAGTACACTGTGTAGTGGTCCTACCTTGTTGATATCTATGTTTTCACCATGTGATAAGTAAATTGAGCTATACATCATGCTAGATATCATGTCTAGGCTTTATGCCGATATTGTTGGGACCCATAGTGATCGTTTCTTGCTGTCATCTCATTGAATTCATTGATATACCATACTCAGTCACATTCATGCATTCATATCATATCACAACCTCAATTATTATTTATTGACACATCATATCATCTTTATTTTGGGTTGAACGCCATATTTGGGCTTCGAGCCAACTATTTAAACCCTTCGGGGATTTTTATTACCATTTCCTCACTATTTTGAATTATTATTTGAACTCAGTCCCGTTGTTTTTCACTGTTTTACTACTCATCCATTTTTACTCAGTTTTGAGACTTAAATGAGATTCTAAATGATGTTTTGGGATGAGAAATACTGTTTTACTATTGCCCGAAGGGCTTGTGATGATTTTCGGACTGAGTAAGGCCAAGGGCCTATTTGTGAGGATACACTAGTACTGATATAAGGCCGAGGGCCTAAGATACATATATATACGCCACGAGGTGGCTTGATGATATGAGGCCGAAGGCCTGAGATACATATATATACGCCACGAGGTGGCTTGATTGATATGAGGCCGAGGGCATAGATGTGATGCCACGAGATGGCTTGATATTGCGCTTGGGCCGTAAGGGGCCCCTCCCAGAGTCTGTACACCCCCAGTGAGTGCAGGTACCCATTGTGATGTGATATTGAGCCCGAGGGGCTGGTACTATTATGAGCCCGAGGGGCTGGTACTGTTCTGATATTGAGCCCGAGGGGCTGGTGCTGTTATGATATTAAGCCCGAGGGGCTGGTGCTATTTTGATATTGAGCCCGAGGGGCTGGTGCTGTTCTGATATTTAGCCCGAGGGGCTGGTGCTGTTATGATATTTAGCCCGAGGGGCTGGTACTGTTCTGAGATGTTACCCGAGGGGCGGATTTGTGATATTGTGCCCGAGGGGCTGGTACTATTCTGATATTGAGCCCGAGGGGCTGGTACTGTTCTGAGATGTTGCCCGAGGGGCGAATTTATTGATACTGTGCCCGACGGGCAAATTTCTATTTATTTACTTACCTGTTAATTACTTGTTTTACTTATTGAACGGTATTATGGAAAAATTCACAATCTTTAGACTTGCTTATATTTTGGTAATTTCAGTGAAAAAAATTGAGTTTTACTGTTATACTTGAAAAGAAAAGGTTTATTTTTCATGAACTGGGAACGAGCTGAGCATTTTATTATTAAATTATTCTTTGTGCTGCTTATGAATATTGTTGTGAAGTATTACTGGATATTGGTGTGGACTCTAACCTTGGTACAAGCTCGTCACTACTTTCAACCTAAGTTTAGGTTTGTTACTTTTTGAGTACATGGGGTCGGTTGTACTCATACTACACTTCATGCACATTGCGTGCAGATTTTGGATGTCGACGTTGCTGTGTTCGATGGGAGTTGACTTGGAAAATGTACTGGCATCCCTATTGTAGCTGCCTCTTGTTCATGGTAGCCTTAAATTCATTAAACTCTGTTTATGTAACTTTTCAAACAGAAGATGCATGTGTTTCATATCAGTTGTGTAAATTTCTCTCTTAGAAGCTCATGATTTGTACTACCAGTCCTTAGGAGGTGTATAAAACATCATTTATTTTTCCTCAGGATGTTATATTTGTATTGGACTTGATGAGTTGGCTTACCTAGCGGGATGGGTTAGGTGCCATCACGACTAGTTTGATTTTGGGTCGTGACAGATTGGTATTAGAGCTCTAGGTTCATATGTTCTACAAGTCATGAAAAAGTGTCTAGTAGAGGCTTGCGGATCGGTATGATGACGTGTATACCTATCTTCGAGAGGCTATAGGGAATTTAGGATAAACTTCCCATCTTTCTTTCCTTATCATGCAGAATTGATTTAGCTTTGAATTATAACTCTTTGATTTCCTTAAACGCATGTGTATGTGCATGTGAGCGCTCGGTATCAGTTGTTCATTTAAGGCTTGTAATTCCATGAACTAGATTCGAGATGTGTAATTTGTGTTTCGGTAATGGTCCAGTTTGGAGGCTTGAGGCCAGGTGTAGACCGCAGCTTACGCTCGGTAGTTTCAGTTGTAACAACATGTGTATTGAGTTTATGTGTGT